GCTGTTAGATAATAAGTAGATTTTCATATACTTAGAAAAAAAATATACTAATACTTATTTAATATGCTAAACAAATGTGAAGATTTCTTGAATAAATTAAAATCATACTAGCTTTTTGCCCGTGACTCTTGCATGAAAATTTTTTAAAAAATTGGCATTAATTACTATAAAAAATTCTGTGCAGGACTCGCTATTCTAGTAATTAAAATGTTAAGGTTAAATTAATTTGCATCAGAATGAATAAATCATCCAGGACGGCCCCAAAAAGTTCAGTGATATAAGATTAGTTAGTGCCATTTATTGGCTCTCTTCTATCTGCACATTGTAGATTATTTTCTTAGTAATTGTAATCCATGCCTATAATATACGTCACCGAACTTTTGAAGGCTGCCCTGGATGATTCCATCAGAATTATCGTGACTTCCAGTGATAATAGTTTGTAATTAAGGTTGAAGATTATCGTAATTTCTTTCATTAATTGAAAAAAAAAAAAACATTATAAAACTACTCATCATTTCGGTAATTAAAAATCTGGTGTTGGTTTGTATTGGAAAATTATTGTAATTTCTACCATGAATTACTGTAAAATATTACAAAATTCACTTTTCAGTACGAGTAGGATATTATGTAGTCTGGTCTTGGATCAACAGACCACAGTTAGTCTTAAGGCCAGTCTGAAACCCAAAAAATTTGGCCTTCTCTAAGTCTTAAGACCAGATCAGACTAAACCAAACTGGACTGCTATTATTCCTACACTTGGTGAGATATAGTATGTAGTTAAAGTTGAGTTATTCGTATTAGAATTATCACAACTTCTATCATGAGCTACAGCAAAACTTACTTGCTACTCCGGTAACAATAGGTTGTAATTAAAGTTGAGTTTGATCGCTTTAAAATCTTGATTAATAATTTGGTTCGCTTTTTTTTTTTTAGAAAAGTAAAAAATTTATCTACTGGGCTCAAAGTACTGGAGAGCTGCATGGAAGGAAGTGACTAGTTCCAAAACCATGAAAGATTGTTCCTTTACCTTGGACTCTTGATTTTTTTAAATAAAAAAAAAAAGGCTAGTCAAAATTTGATACTTAAAGAAAAAATCTTGGTATATAAGCCTTACAAAATTACCGTCACATATACCGGTAATGCTAAAGTTATTTAGTGCTTAACAAAATCTGGATTTATCTTAGTTAAGCGATCATTAAACTTAGAACTATCATTTGTATAAAGATTTATATCCAGTCTGATACGTAGAATCTTGTATGTGCAAAGTAGTGACTAATACAGTAATAGGGTGGATGGATGCTAACAAAATCTCCCAATTGGTTCACGATATCACATGGTTAAATTAGGTATTTATTAACAATGATGTTGATCGAAGTTTAATTGTTATATACTTTTAATATAAAATTCTAATCGATACTTTTTCTTTTTTACTTTTGTTTTGAACAATAATATCAGTTTTATAAATAACATGAATTTACCTTACTTTTACTATTACTTTCGAAGTTTTAGAACTCACTAAGTTAATTTTATTGAGATGAAAAGGTAGCACTTTCATATTTATCTCGCTATTAGTGCAGAATAGATATGTTTAACTAACTATATATATGTACGTACGTACAACGTAGAATAACAGATAAAAAAAAACAGAGTAACAACTAGGTATATACACATACACGTACGTACAACGGTCTTATCTTACTACTCTTTGGATAATTGTTTCAGTTTGTTGTTCAGTAAGTTTTGAGATTGTGTCAAACCTATGTGTTCTAATTCGACTGATTTTATCTACACCAATTATTTTGAACAAATTATATACATTTCTGGCCCTTTGTGTACTTTTTTTTAAAGCCTCTTTAGTAATATCAGATCGATGTGCTAATATTTCTCTATAGACTCTGGTTTTGGCTTTGTTCAAACTTATTCTGTTATTTTGTAGTACTTCATTTACTTGTCCCTCAAATGCTTCAGCAAATCGATACTAGGACCATATTTCAGCCTGGTTTGCTAATATTGCACGCTTTTGAGAACGTTCTGCTTTATTATAAAGCTGAACTAAACTCAATGTTATATTTCCACTATTTTCTTCTTCGCTACTACTACTAACTCTAGATATTTCTTCAATAGGAGTAATTAAATTCGCAAGAATTTCTAAAAAATTTTTTCTTTTTTTAGGTCAGCAGTAGAGCTACTAAATTCGGTAGATAATGTAGACCTAGTAGAATTACCAGAGTTAGATGCATTAGAGGTATTAATAGCAGTAGGTATAGCTGGACTACTAGGGTTGGCGATTGTAGACGCAGGATTGTTAGAGTTAGTACTCGATATAGCTGGATCACTTGTAGATGTAGTAAGGTTATGGGGATTGGCGATTAATATAGAAGGTATAAAAGTGGATTCTATAGATGTATTCGTAGTAGATTCAATTGGAGTATATTCCATAGATGTATTTACAGTAGTAGGAGTATATTCCATAGATGTAGATGTATTTATAGTGGTAGGTTCAATTGGAGTATATTCCATAGATATAGATGTATTCACGGTAGTAGATTCGATTAGATTAACTTGCTAATTAGTATTTGTAGTAAAGTTTTCTGATTCTGAAGTATTTTCTAAATGTTTACTTCGACAAATAGGACAAGTATATTCCGATTCAGAAGCCCAGCAATTAATGCACTTGACATGAAAGAAGTGATAACATGTCAAAATTATAATTAGATATTGAAAAGTTGGACTAATTTTAGACAGACATATCATACAATTATTATGTTCGTTTGAATCTGAAATATTTTCAGGTGTATTTTGAAAAAAAACTTTGTACATAAATTGTTTTAATGCTTCTATTTTTTTTTTCGATAATAAACAAGATTTAGTTTTGACAAAAAAATCGTTTGCAATTCCTATTTATTTGTATAATTTCAACAATATAGATTTTCTTACAACATTTTTTTAAATCTTTTTGCAACTTATTGCATGATAGATGAATAAAAGGAATTACTTAAATAATGCAGAAGTATTAGCGTATCATGAAAACAACTTATAGTGAACAGATATGAGGAGTCACTAGTAGATTTAAATAAATCATTAATAATGCAGACATTAAACAGCTATAGTGTAAAGCAAATAGATACATTATTAGCCAATTTAATAATTTTTTAGAAATTAATTCAAATAATGCAGTCACATTAAAAAAAATTTTTTTAATTAACATTTTCAAATTTTACATGCTTTCTACAATATCATGAGATTCTATAGATTTTAAGAATATTATGATTTCAAATAAATATAAATATATAGAATCTCAGAAATTTTCTTCCATCATCATTACAAAAGTCAAGGGGTTACATCTTTTTGCAAATTGCAATAAAATACTTGCAAAATTTTTATAATTATTTTACTTTGCAAAATTGTATTACAATAGTGATAGTAATTAATAATTACAAAACTTTAATTAGAATTAAAAAATGAAATAATACGTTAATTTCATTTAGAGAAATTAAATTTAATTATTAAAATATATTGAGAGATTTATAAATATACTGTCAATTTATTTTTAATTTACATATTTTATTATTTTCTATATATTCATAAACTTTAATTATTAAATCGTTAAAATTCTAACTATCGAATTATTAAAAATTATTATTACAATTAACGTTAAGCAGATGATATTATTTAAATAATATAATTCAACTTATCACATGACTTCACAGACATGAATGTCTGTGAAGTTATATGATAAGTTGAATGGCGCATGTCGAATGGCATTCGAATAGTGCTATTCGACAAATCGAATTTTACTAGTGCATGTTACATCTGATTATAAGTTTTAATTTGTCAAAAATTATAGGAGCGCTAGCATCAATTTCGAAGTGAAAGCCTGTACCTATCTGATAGTTCATATGTGATCATCCTCTTTTTGTTTATTTCATAGAACATTAATGTTTTAGAATTTTGGAGGTAGCTACCTCAGCAAAAATATCACAGCGATATGGCATATTTGCCATATAAGTAGAAGTGCATAAATGCTATATACCATATAAGTATTGTATGCTGTATTTGATTCAGTAAGTAAATTCTATTAATTGGTAGACTAAAAAAGTAATTTATGTTTACAAACACTTAACTAATACCTTTCAGATTACCGGTTAGTGAGTATTACAATAAATTTTTAATGATATAAAAAATATATATCGATATAGTGTCCTCCAATGAGCCGGCTCAAAT